TGAACAGTATTCAACGGGGAGGGCCCGTTGTACTATTCAACGGGGATTCAACGGGGCCCCGGGGGCTATTCAACGGGTACAATGACGTTGAAACTTTTCCATTGCACATTGAATAGACATAGTCCCTCACCCACCGCATCCCTCATCACCCTAGTGTCGGCCATTGCATGCCTTCAGTTAGGCATACGTCCTCCCTATTCGAGGCTCTCCTTTCATGGTGGACCATGCATGGTGTCACCCATTCGTCGAGCATTACCCGCCTTGATGGTTTTCTGTTAGGGCCATTGGTTTTGCATCGCTACCACTCCCACCCCCAGAGCCTGATGACCTACCCCACCTCGTGTGTGACTGCCCTTAGGACTTTCGATTCTTAGGCTGCATTCACCCCCTCTGAGACCATTCCACTGTTAGTGGTTCAGCGACATGACATTACTTGTGACATATTGCTCTCTTTTCCTTTCAGCACTGCGGCAATTGCCTCCAGGACTTTAGGATTGTATGTTGCTACATTTCCTTTTCTGTTGTTAGCTAGGATTTCTATACCAAACATTTGCTTTTCATTCGACATTACGTAGCTTACGCTGCATCGCATGGACTGCGCATAGAGCTGGCTCCGCATCCTAGATTCTCAACTTTCTTTATTACAGAGTTTCACTGCTTTTGCGGATAGCGTGGTTATGGCTCTTGCGATCCACTACAGGTCTGAGGATCGTGCAACAGACCTCTATCTTCCCTGGCCTATAGCCAGGGCCTATTGGGCTATTTGCCTGTTCGGCCTGTGGGACCAGGCCGCGGCCTGACCTCACATGCCGTGTGCTGTTCCAGTCCAGTCCAGTCCTGCCCGGTAGCATTGTCGATACCAAGCCAGTCCAGTCCAGTCTAGTCAATCCGCTGGGGCTATACCCCAACCGTTGTCTGTTTTCCATTTATTCTTCATTCTGCACACTTGGAGTACGTGCGTGTTGAGTCTACGTCAGAGCTGCGCTGTCCCTTCCAGCTTCATCTCCATCCCTTCAACCCTTCGTCTTGATCCTAACGGACCGCCATCCCGGCAGGTCCGTCACGCCAGGCCACCGATCAGACACACATACTTGGTTGTACGCAGGTATCCAGACAGCATTCGGTCCAAGTGGAACTCTGCAATTGTACGAGATCCAGGTTCGTCGGCTGTGAGTCAATGTCAACCTCCGTTGATGAGAGACCAGAGGCTGGTCAATGTCGTCAACACTACTTATTGACCCAACCCCTGAGAGTCAACATCTTGCCTTGCTGACTTGACGATGGCACGACGCTGGCTTGACGCTGGCTGGACGCTGGCAAGACGCTGGTTGGATGCTGGCAAGACCCAGGCTTATATGCTGGCATTGTGCGACCACAACGCGAGACTGTTGCTTTGCGTGTTGGCGCCTCTTTGCTTCTGGCACCAACTGTCTTCTTGTATGCTGACGTGGCACTTGCCACGTTGTCTTCGACATTGCTGACGTGGTGCATGCCACATTGTCTTCATTACTGATTGGGATGCGACAAGGAGGGAGATTGGGATCTGTGGGATTGATTAAGAGAGAGGGGACTTACCTGTTGATACTGTCGACATTGCGCGCTGCAGAGACGTCTTCATGGGAGAACTGTGCCTACGTGGCACTACGTTGTGATTACATCTCGTCAAGCTCATTCCTGGGACACTATTTGCTGACGTGGAGGAGAGGAGATGCATGAAGAAGAACTGGGGATACAAGGGTTTCTATCTACGTGGACATTGATGGATGCTTTCTCTTCCACCCTCTAAGTCTATTCTCCCCCTCAACTCCTTCGTCCTATGACTACGAGACATTGTTATATATATAGATCACATTTCACGATTATTTGAGACATTTATCAGCGCCGAGTTATCTTGTATTTTGACACTTGACGAGTTTCCTCCAGACTGGGTTCATTACACATGCAGCCATTGGTGGGTAACGCAATCATGTTGAAGCCGGCGGAAGTGGTGCGCAGCTGGGTATTTTCATTGCTGTCAACGTCTGCTGTTTCTGTGAGTTGTTCGGGACTGGCGATGGAGTGCCTGGAAGGGCTGTGGCCGCCACTGACACTGCTGGTCCTCAAGAG